CCACTCCTTAAATACGTTCATAAAGTTTGTTATCAGTCAGGGTTCGGGACAAAAAGAGGCCGCCAGGAGAGGTTGAACTTTACGAAAGGGAAGTTTATGGGCAGGAAACAAAGTCCCACCCGTACTGTAGCTTCGAATGCAATGGAACCATCTACCATTGTTTTTCTTGGACCTTGGAGGCGTGTATGGGAGATTCCTGTGCAAACGGAGAATGGAAGATTATGGTAGGGAGAGGAAAGTCTCATTGGCATTGCTTGATTTGAAAGAAATTTTCACTCAGCGGCTGAAATGCTTGTCAATCTTCCTCAGTTTCTTTAGGTAAATACTTTTTAGTGGTCACCTTTTGGTCTTTTGTTTATCGTTATTATCTAAGAGGATCCACGACTTCTAAAATATGGAGCTATAGTACCAGTCTAATATCTACAAAAAATCTGAAAATTTTCAGATCAAATAGCACATTATTTTGTGATTTTCAGAAAAAAATTATATTTAATAGTTGGATCTTGTTTGACAAGCTACCTTTCCACAAGAGAAAATGCATAATTACTAAAACAGAAATACAATTACGCCACATAATTCTCCCTGTGATCAAAGATAAGGAAGTATTATTATATAAACCACACCTCTGATTCGCTATGACCACAGCGGAACACGAGCGCAACGCAATCAAATACCTGGACGTAGAAAATCCTCGTTTTGAGTAACAATCTCCATACACTCCAATTGTAAGCTCCTGGCCCGCAGACTTTTCTCCCAACATATGCTGAAAAAGGACGACCCAGTTCACGGAGGCAGATCAAAGGTCGAGCCTTTCCTCATCCGTAATCATTTGCCTGACGACGTTTTTCTGTGTTGAGCTTTAGGTGGCCTCGCACGTGTGTTACGGTAAACTTGTCAGATTGCCCCTTTTATATCTCACGGTACAATGCTAAATGAGAAAATGAGATGGAAAGATGGCGAGGGTAGGCAAATGTTTCGTGACAAGAAACGGACAAAGAAATAGAAAGGGAAATAAAGGAAACTTAAAAAAGAAAAAAAAGAAAAAGAAAGGTCTGCACCAAGTCTATGTTCGACGCAGCAAGCCATAAGAAGGAAAGAAAAAGACCGGAGAAATAGACATACACAGAATATCAAATAACGTTTAGTTTGCCCACAAGATGGAAAAGGAAAACATCATTTTTACGTGCGCGAGGACATGCCACAATGCGGACATAGCAATCAACGTCATTGTCTGTCCTGACGAGCTGACGTAACAGGGAGTGACCGTCCCCGCGCCTGTCCGGACCGAATGCCATGCCGAGGAGGACCCTTTTGTGTGTATTTCGAGGTATATCAGTCATCTAATTTGCTCTGTGTCTATTTCTGGAACAAAGGAGTTAAAAAAAGTTAATTCGTTGGATTTGTTGAAGATGCTAAAGACTTAAGATGAGGAGGTTCAATGTTGTTGTTGTTGTTGTTGTTGTTTTTTGCCTTTTGTTAATTCTCTTCCTTTCTCTGTCTCTCTCCATCGCTGTCTCTGTCTGTCTGTCTGTCTGTCTCTCTCTCTCTCTCTTTCTCTCTTTCTCTCTCTCTCTCTCTCTCTCTCTCTCTCTCTCTCTCTCTCTCTCTCTCTCTCTCTCTCTCTCTCTCTCTCTCTCTCTCTCTCTCTCTCTCTCATTCTCTCTTTCCATCTCTGTCTCTGTCTGTATGCCTGTCTGTCTGTTTGTCTGTCTGACTGTCTCTCTCATTCTCTCTTTCCATCTCTGTCTCTGTCTGTATGCCTGCTTGTCTGTCTGTCTGTCTGTCTGTCTGTCTGTCTGTCTCTCTCTCTCTCTCTCTCTCTCTCTCTCTCTCTCTCTCTTTCTCTCTCCCCTCTCCTCTCTCCCTTTCTCTGTCTTCTTTCCTCCCTCATAAACACACACACACACACACACACACACACACACACACACACACACACACACACACACACACACACGCGCGCGCGCGCGCGCACATACACGCACGCACGCACACACACACACACACACACACACACACACACACACACACACACACACACACACACACACACACACACATATACACACACACACACACACACCGAGTCATGTTCGAAAAGATAAAATGACACAAATGTAAAGAACTGAACATTTATTGGAGAACATTTTGAAGGTATAGAAACTTTTATCGTCAGTGCAATAACAAGGAACCAAGGGAATAAACTGTACAAGCGGATCCTATTTTCAAGACTAAAAAAAAAAAAAGAGAAAAAAAAATGCAATATGCAAATGATTCAAAAGAATATGTATAAACATGATACAGTATATATAAATATATAAATGTATAATAATGTGAAACAATGATAATTATGAAATGATAATGTGAAATGAACAATAAAAATATGTACAAAAAAATCAGTAAAGGAGAAGGGAAGCTTCGTGGCTGAACTAGGAGGACGCTGTCGTAAATTCAGTCTAGGCTTCATCTAGACTTCAGAAACGTTTGTACTTTTGCGAGGTCTTGTCTAACTGAATTCTAAGGGAGGGGGAGAGAAGGAGAGAGAAGGAGAAAGAAGGAGAGAGAGCGAAAGAGAGAAAGAGAGAGAGAGAGAAAGAGAGAGAGAGAGAGAGAGAGAGAGAGAGAAAGAGAGAGAGAGAGAGAGAAAGAGAGAGAGAGAGAGAGAGAGAGAGAGAGAGAGAGAGAGAGAGAGAGAGAGAGAGAGAGAGAGAGAGAGAGAGAGAGAGAGAGAGAGGACAGACAAGCAGAGGCAGCGAGAGAGATAAATGAGACAGACAAGCAGAGGCAGCGAGAGAGATAAATGAATAGTAGGATATACTGAGAGAGAGAGAGAGAGAGAGAGAGAGAGAGAGAGAGAGAGAGAGAGAGAGAGAGGCAGATAGACAGGGAGAGACAGACAGTGATAAATAGATAGATAGATAGACAGAGCGATAGGGGGGAAGAGAGGTATATAGAAAGAGAAAGAAAGAGAAAGAAAGAAAGAACGTGCCTGTATATATATAAGTACCAATATGAAGCCCATGAACCTTTATAATCATGAGAATCATGAAATATCTTTCATGAAATGGTCAAAGGAACAAAAAGAAAAACATTTGCATAGAAATGACACAAGAGCCTGATACATGACAAAAGTAGGCCACGTATTTCTAAACCAAACATCTATCGTAGGCTTTAGCTTAATGGAAAAGCGCCCGGGGATGTAATAGCCGTGGTATTAACAGCACTGAATGTAATTAAGGCTTGGTGTTCATTTCGTATTGTATTCACAAGCGGACCTCCACATATACATATACACACACACACATGCAGACGCACACATACGGAAACACATGCACACACGCAGGCACGCACACACGCTAGCATGTGCAAACACACACACATGCGAAAACATGCACGCACGCAGGCACACACACACGTACACTGTAATGAAAACAATGTCAAGAATGATGTAAAACAAAAAGAGAAAAAGAAAAATCATGATTGCTAATATCAACATTCATATATAAATATCACAAATGAAAACTATTTTTTTCACAGAGAATTACTGATCTCCATTTCCTCTTGCCTCGTCTCCCTACAGCTTCTTTGTTCCGAAATGTATGCTTAGCCATATAATAGAAAAGTTGACCATTTCACAAATAAGCCAACAATGGTAATGAAATCGAGCGACTTCATATTTCACAAGGAACAAATGGTTTTCTGACAGTTTGTCTTCAGAAACGTGTTTTTTTTAGAGAGAGTTAACAAATGAAACGTCAATTGCGTCGGACTTCAAAACGTCATTGTAAAATTATTAGGTCTGATTCGTGTCTTCTTCAACAATAGAGTTTGCTTCTCCCTGAAAAAAATAACGGTATCTCAAAATATGAATATAACAAAGCTTTATTTTCCTCATAATTCATCATGATTTCACCGTTCCTCTTATTTATCTTGTGTGTATCTTATTTCTCCATCATTAATTTTATGGATCAATCAAATTTTACGTCAGTTATCAAGAATTAACTATAATCATACTCAAGCACTTATCTTCCTTGCTCCCTTCTTCCCAAATAACTTCAGAAGATCCGTGTCCCAGAAATCAACTTGTAAACATGTAACAGGATGAGCGTAATGTGACCCGACTGCCCTCATTAGAACTACCTTGTTACTCGTTCAACTTGTCGCAACCCTAATGATGATAATAATAAATATATTAGCTCGTATGTCGCATTGGAAATTGGTGGATGGGTTGTGGATTGCTATACCCAACTTAACATCCGGTTGGGTCAAGCAATTGGGCGTGGTTTGTATAATGATTGTATAATTTCGTAATTTCTATTATAAGTGTCGTAGGTCACTGTACAGCCCAATTAAGCTTTTGTGTTGTTTTGAGGTTGGTATATACGGCAGAATTGGAAGTTTCTTTACACTATACGGCCCTTGTTCAGATTATACGTGGAAGATAAAGTTGAAGGTTTGTAACTCAGTCCTATTATATATAATAAGTAAATTGTTTCCCTTGTGACTGTATCTAGCAAGATTTTAGATATACAGTTCTTGTAACCAGATATTTCCATGACTGTTATTGAAAACTATCAGACGTGCAGGTTATAATAATGGATAATAATGGATTCCAGAATGAACCCTAAGCTCCGAAGATGAAGTCTCTGCATATATTTTGGTGGATAGGGGGATTTTTTATTATTATTTTTTTTTTTATTGGTGTTCTCTTTTTTCACTTTTTTTTCTTTGGGCAATACAGTCTAACGCAAGTATTACACGGAATAACGCTACGCATATATTTCAAGTTTACCAAACAAAATAAGAGTTACAGTATAACTTTTATATTCAAAATCAATACATAAGTAATGCCTGTCTCGAAAGCCCATCGCATTTTACGACAAGTCAACAAGATCTCCAAGATTTCCTATTCGAGTAATGGAGACAGACATGCTAACCACTGAGAGGCAAGGTTGCAAGCTGTCTCTAAAGCTCCCCGGTAACGTACAGTTCCTCGGCAGGAGCAGCGTGTACACCAGCAGCAGTTACGCCGCCAGCAGAGGCCTCCGTCGCCCCTCAGCAGGCAGGACAGCGGCCAGCCCTCCCCAGGTGGCGCATCCCGTGCCGCCGCCCAGGTAAAGTGTGCTTCCCTGCCCTGCCCTATCCTGCCCTGCCCTGCTCGGACCTTCCCTGCCATGCCCTATCCTGCCCTGCCCTGCTCGGACCTTCCCTGCCCTGCCCTCCCTTTGATGCTGGAGAAAATACTGACTGATCCTTGTCCTTTCGTCAAAAGGGTGATGAGGGTCTCCGGAGAGAAGTGCATTGTGTGATGAATATGTTGAATTTCTTATTGATTCTCAACTGGTGGTCATTTAAAATATATATATATTACTTTTTTTAAGCACATGTTTCCTAATGTACTCCGAACGCAGCTCTTGATTAAATGAAATGGGGTGATGTCTGAGATTCCTGCGAAGGCAATGCTTAGGCTCCACATTTTCCCCATGCTTTTTCTAACGGCGCGCCCTCTCCTTCCCGCAGATCCAAGGGCGCTCTGTCCAGCGTCCCTGGAGTCGCCGCGCCGGGCATCATGAAGTCCTCCTCGGAGATCTTCATTTCCTCGACGGCGCTTCCTCCTACCAAGGGCATCCTCAAGTCCTCCTCGGGTGTCTTCCGCCCCGCCGCGCCGGGAGCGCCCTTGTCGCGCTCCGCGTCGGGGGGCGTGGTGACGTCGACGGCCCGGGTCAACTTCAGCAGCACCGTCAGTCACATAGAAAGCTCTCCCCCGACCTCCCCGACGGAGCCGCCCTTCG